GAGCTACAAGACCAAATTATTCCCATTCCAGTTTTCAGCAGGATGACAACCTGAGTCTCAAGGTGCTGCCTGCCCATAGCTCATGGGGGGCTCTCTTAACGTTTCTCGACTTCAAACAAAAAATGTTGGTTTATCAATGATGATAAGAGTAACTGAGGCTTAAACCAATGTAAGATCGGGTTAAAAATCATTCAGTTCTTTAGTAGTTTAATATTATTTGACTCAAGATATGCAAAGCCTCAGACTGCTCAGTATGGAGCATGATGCCCTCTTTTTTTTTTTTCCCTTCTAAATCTGAAGTTCATCTTAGTTCCAAAATATTGTTTTGGAAATCGATCTTGCTTCCAAAGTTATTAGCAATGCTCTGAACTCCTTTAATTGTGCAAGATCAGGCCCTCCGTGAACATACACGTACTGAACAAAGCTATGAAGAGAACGTGGCTGAAAATTTGGTTTTAAAAAGTGCTCTCTTATGGTGGTGTAAGATGAGATCAAGAAGAACAGCAAGACAACTTCTCCATGAAATGACTGTAAGCTGCTACCTGCAGCTCCAACAGGACAGTTTGCTTTAATGCAATCTTTCTGAAGGAGCATTTGAGCTCCATTTGTCAAAACGTGTTGCTGGTGATTTTGCTCCATATGAGAGTACTAGTGTTTCAGGAGAGAAAATAAAAAATAAAATCAATGTCTTCTTCAGGTTTTGAGGGGAGATGGAGCTTTGGGATGATTAAGGGCTGCACTAGGCATAAATGGCAGCTAGAAAACTGTGTTTCTAGAAACTGTCATCTGATACTTCCCACTACTCTCTTTTTCTTCTAAGAAAAACTTAGGTGAGTTGTTTGATCTTCCAATCTTTCATTTAGATTTAAAAAAAAACAACAAACTGCTGAGGAAGCAAGCTTGCTGACAAAAAGAGCTTCCTTTTGTTTTCAATAGGTGTTGCATCTCAAGCAAGGAATGTCTTAGACTGGTCAGAATCAGATATGATTACTCGATTTCAAAGTAATCCAAATGAAGTAAAAATATTTTAGTCCCCTAAATCATTGTCTGGGACTGAGAGGAATGAAAAGTCACTGCAATCTATGTGACTAAAGAAATAACTTCTCAGACACACGTTGGTGTAAACAGTGAGTAGACTCCTGTAATTAATTCTTCACAAAGGCATTCAGACAGTAGTGGAAAAAAATGGGAAAGGATGAGACGGGATGATTACATCACTTGAAGATCCTCACGTTGGCTTGTTGGCTTGTTGTACAAATGCTGCCTTCTGCAGTGAGCTCTGTAAAAAACATTCAGCTGCTTGTTTTCATGTTTCCTAGTTAAGGTTTTCACTCACAGGGTTTCAGCATTTTGTGAACAATCGCCACAAACACACAACTCCGGTGGACTCGGTGTCTGGTGGGGAGTTTGCTCTCACTGGAGGTGGATCAACTTCCAGAAAATATCGCAGATTTTTCTTTTTATTCCTCTCCTGCTTATATTATGTACGTGTCTTAGAGAGAAAAATGGTTGGAGGCAAGAATCTGTAGGTAGTTTCTTTATGGAACCCTGCTGATTAAACGGCACCGTGACAGCATCTGAGACCAAGGGTCTGTTGCTATGCTTGGATACAGAGAGGAAGACATCCAGTCAAATGTTTCTATTCCCAAAGCTGGTCTTATGGTAAAGCTGATAGAGCACCTGTTTAAAATGAGTAACTCCTCACAGGGATGAAGTTGAGCAATGACAGAAGTCTGTAAAGTCTGATATCTAAATGGATTGCTCCTCTGAAGTTTTTTCTTATATCTTGTAAATGTAAGTAGGGCCATTCCAGCTTTATCTCTGTACACTTAACGAGTCAGAGTCACTCATCTCTCAACATACAGATTCTGTAAGGTTTTGACTTCATTTCTTTTTACAGCATTCTTTTGTGAGGCTGTATTTAAATAAAGTTAGACATGGGCTTTTCTAGGAAAGAAGTCATTTCTCTTTCTTCTGTCAGACTTGCTTGGCAGATATGCCTCTGAACTACTCTCTATATTTTTTCAGAATACTGTCTATCTCACATTGGCCTTCATTTGATATGGATCCATAACTGATTTTGGTGCTACAATAGAACAATCTTTCTCTTACCTCCTACATCACGTTTTTCTGCCAGTCATGAATTCGCTTTACTTCACATGCATACACTTGCTTAATCATTACAACTTGGAGCTGACGTACTCCTTCAGAACGATCCCCAAACAGTAAATCACGACATATTCCACGTTCTTCCCACTCTGCACTACAGAATTTAGCACTTAATGAAAGGTACACAGAAAATGCACTTGAACTCGGCAGTGAATCACGAGACAGACAGCTGGTAACAAAGCCCTTACCTTTTTAAACGCATGATGGTCTCTACGTGGCACAGAAATCGTAGCCCGAAAAATGCAGCTCTCCTGCCTTCCGATGTACGGGGACAGTTTACACCCTATTTCCTTCCCCTCGCTCCTTCCACCACGCTACATATAGTTCATGGTGCTGTTGCCGGGATTGGCTGGTGCATCTCTGAGGCGCACACAGGACCGTGCCCGGAGCACCCGCAGCCTCGTTAACCCTTTGCGGGGAGGGCTCCCCTCCCTGCAGGAGCCCCGCCGAGCCCGCACCGACGGGCGGGCACCGCTCCGCGGGCTGATCTCCCTTCCCTGCAAAACGAGCTGCCCTGTCCTGCCGAGGATGGGGAGAGGATGGAGAGGGAGCGGCTGGCGGGGGGTCCCGCAGCCGGGACCGGCGCTGTCGGTGCTCGCTCCGCCCGGACCCGGAGCCCCTCCTGCCGCTGCGGGCGACGGGTCCCCTCCAGCCCCCGCCTCTCCCAGTCCCCTCCCGCCCCTTTTTGGTACCTCGCCCCGGGGACACAGAGCTCGGAGGAGCGGCTGCCCAGGCAGGCTGGACGCTGACACGCATCCTTAAAGGTATTCCCTGTGCCAGAGCCACATCCCTGCGTGTCCGCCTGCCACTGCCAATATTGGAAATTGGGAAATTACCTCCCGGCCAAATGGGAGTCCCAAAGCCACACGGCTTCAGGGGAGATGGAGGCAGCAGAGGAGGTGGAGGTAATCCTTGGCAGTGACAGACACAGGCAAGCAGGGAGCCTGGACACCTAAATACAGGGAAGAGGGCTGTTTGGGAGCATTCCCTCGGGAATGGGCCGTTGGGCTCGGGAGGTATTTACACACCACCAGTCTATTGTACAAAAAGCAAAAGAACCACTACAGCAAAGAAAAAACCGCCCGGCTGCTGCCCGGTATTCTTTTTTTTTCTGAATCAGCCAGCACGATACGAGCAGAAGGTATCCCTGGGCTGGGAGCGAGGAATGCTGGAAATCAAGGGTAATAGGAATCTTCTCTATTAAGCATGCCTGACGCTCGCTTGTTGCAATCGCCCATTAAGCCCATATTAATTGCATTAATTTACTTGGTGGTGTAGGCAAAGGGTTTGGTGTGTGTCCCCTCGACTTCTACTGAGTATAGAAACGCCACCCAGTCCAACCTGTGTCACTTTTCCTGCCCAGACACAGTTTTACTGCCATCCGTCACAGTGCCTGTGAGCCACGCAACTCCGCTGCCCTCATCCCACCCCCGTCGGCAGAGGGAATATCGAGTGCTCTTAAACCCGGGAAATATTCTGCTGATGGGCACGTAAATCTCTCCTGCAGAGCGCTCGCATTTAAGCAGCACGGCGAGGCGATGCTCACCGGCTGAGCTATTCCCATCGCAAGCTAAATCCCTCAGAACTTCCTGGGTTTTGGTTGTTTTGGGGTTTTTTTCCCTCAATGCTAAGGAAAAAAAAAAAGGGATTAAAAATCAGGTAGAGGTTTTGAAACGCACTCTAATCCTCTCTACCTAGGGAGGGAAGGGAGTATGACTGCACAGAAACTTTCCTGAGCAGACCGGTGCGGGAGGATCCCGGCAGCAGCAGCGCCAGAGGCGGGGAGTTCAGGAGACACGTCTGGGATTTGGTTAATCACCCCAGACTCGTGGAAAAGGCCGGGGCAGGAGGAGGTGGGGGCAGAGGGGCAGGTCGGCGGGAATGGGAAAACCGCCTGGAGGACAGTCTACGAGAGAAGGACACTCAGCTGGAAGGAGATGTGGGCACGGGGGTTTCGAGCTGGTGGGAGAAGAGAGGAGCTGGAGGAAGGGTGAATTTTGGATCCCGCGCTTGAAAGGCTTTTTCACTTCCCCTTTCCCGAAATCAGTCAGAATTTGGAGGCCGGGAGTGGGGAGTGGGGGGAGGGGAGGTTGAAGGAAAAGCAGGGGGGTAGCACACCCAGGCACTGAAGGGGCCGTTGGTCTTTCCCGTCTTCTGCTTTATTGCCACCAAGCAATAAATTCGGATCCTGTGTGTTTCTCCCTGGCATCTCCACCTGCTTGCAAGCCTTTAGCAGCCTCCTTGTGATCTCTGCATGCACTGCTTTGGAGACACGGCTGCGCCCACACGGACACACACACACACCTCCCCTGCACCCGAATGACAGCTACACGGAGCCAGTCAATACCTCCCAGCGAGAGGGAACGTTTCCTCCCTACCTTCTGCTATCGACCGTGGGTGGATCTCTGACGCTAATTAGAGACACAGAAATCCTCGAAGTATTAACCACAAATAGCCCTCTTGAAGGCACTTGTCCTTTTTTTGACTTAGAGTGTTTATTTCCCTTAGTTCTTCTCTATTTTTCTTTCAAAGTAAAGAAACCCCTACTTGATCCAAGAGACACTCTGTGCCCCAGGCAGATATACAGGGTGTGCGTTTTGGGAAGACGCTGCCTCTCTCCTACCCTGCACTCCTCAGGCCGGCCGAAAATACAGGTATTCCCCAAAATAGTAGTAAGTAAAATCAGGTGCGATGGGATTGAGAAATGCGGGAAGGGCACGGAGCGAGCAGCGACAGTGGCAGGACAGAGCAGGAGCCCCCACAGCCCCCGCTGCTCCCCCACACGCCCGGCCGCCCCCCGCTCGAGCCGCTGCCACCTCCCAGCACATTCCACGGGACTGGAATTCCTTTCCTATCCTTCTGGAGAATCCTTCCCCACCCCCAATCCAATCCGAGTTCTTCAGGGGATCAGGAAGAGCGATGAACTTTTCCACCTGATCTCCCGCCGCGGATTCCCAGACATTCCTCAGGCACGCTCACGGCTCCCTCAGCCACCAGCATTTCTGTCCTTTCCCTTACACGGGGGGAAACCCTGAGCCTTTCCAGCATCCACGGCTGTGTCTGCAAGGGTTAAACCAGGGAATGGAGCAGGTACGGTGCCGGATGGAAACATGAATCGGATGTGGTGAACAAGCGGTGAGATGGGGACGGCTCTGGGAGCGGTGCTGCGGTGCGCGCTGCCAACAGCGCCGGGCGCTGGCGATGGATGTGGGCACAGGACTGGTGCTTCCTAATTCCTTCGAGTTTAGAAAGTGGAGCCAGCTCGGTCAGGAGCAAGGCGAGGCAATACTTTTTTTAATTATTTTATTTTTTATTATTATTTTTATTTCTCCCTGCCGTTAGTGCCCTTTCTGTTGGGGACACGCCACCTGAACGCGAAATCAAACCTACTCACCGGGTGAAACTGCAGGAGGCGAAGCGGCTGTGAGCAAAACGCATCCCGGCTCCAAGCACATAGTCCATGATCTGCGGCTTCAGGCTAGAGCAGGGCTGAGCAGGGCGGGGGGACTTGGGGAACCAGCAGCAGTTCTGTGTGTGAAACAACCCATTTACACCGTGCGTGTCTGCCTGTGTGTGTGTGTGTGTAGGGCAGAGAGAGGCTCCAGACCCAAAACGGGGAAAGGAGGGGAGGAGGGAGGGAGGAGAGAGAAGGAGGAGGAGAGAGGGAAGCAAACCCGAATAGCGAGAGGGGTTGCGGAGAGGAATGGGATTCGCTGGGGTTGAGGTGGGTTTTTTTTGGTGGTGATGGAAGCGATTCTCGAGGAAAGAATAATAAACTGCGGGATCTCAGCAGCAGGTAGGAGGAGAGGGGCTTTGCCCAGGCAGGTGGAGCACAGACAAGACCGCACCGAGCAGTGGGAGGCTGGAGCGAGCCGGGCGGGCCACGGAGGGCCGAGGGAGGTTCAGCCACCGGCCGGGGCGCTGGGGGCACCGCTGCTCGGGGTCCGCGGGGCTCGGGGTTTCGGGGGGCTCGGGGTCCGCGGGGCTCCGCCACCTGCCTCGGGGGGCGGGGAGCGGCACAGGGGGCGCGGGAACCGCGGAGTGGGGACAGCGACACAGCCGGGTAGGGCTCCAGCGAGCCGCAGCGGCGACATCGACCGGGTAAGAGCATCCCAGCTTCCTGCTCGGCCCCCACCCTCGGCCAACCCTTTGTTTCACAACCTTTTATTTTATTTATTTCGCAGCCCGGCTGCCAGGGGGTCTCTCCCCGCATCCCCCACCCCCGGCCGGGGCCGCTGTCCGTCCGTGCCCGGCAGGGAAGGGCTGCAGATCCTGGAGCGGGGAACAGGCTTTGGGAGCGGCACGGGGAGGCGACACCGCGGCGAGGAACCTCTGTGGAGGAGGGAGGGTGGGCGGACGTCCCCCTGCTCATCACCCGTGCCCCTCTCCTGCCCTGGGTAAGAGGAGCATCTCCCCTTCATCCCCCTCTTCATCCTCCCCCCCTTCCTTCTCGGCGCTTCCAGGTTCTCTGTATGGAAATCACGAGCTGGCTCGGTGGAAAAATCTCCCATTTCTTCGCGTAGTGCCTCTGGAATGTGTGCGGAATCTCAAGGTGTGTGGGGGAGAGGGAGGCAGTGCCAGCATTTATGGAGCTTGGTGTGTGTCCCCCCCTACCCCTAGTCCCTCTCCTCCATCCGTGCTGTGAGCAGACACGCGTTCATGGCTAATAAAAACGCTTTTCCCTGAGTATAATTGGGCTGAGAGCTAAACCACGGAAGCCAGTCCGTGTCCGGGAACAGCCTGCAGATCAACGAGGAGCTTTGGCATCCCTGCAGTGTAGCCTGGCTGCGTTCATCTCATGCTTCCCAGGATCAATAAGCAGACTGACCATACCGATTATGTGATGTGTACGTTGGGCAGTATGGAGTGATCGCAGCATTACACCAGCACTTGTCTGCTGTGCTACATGTGGTCTTCAAAAAGAGATGGTAATTTCTGTGGAGCTTTTTGATCAAGAAAGTTTTTGTCTTCTCTCCATTACCCCTGTAAGCACCAGTTCATGTCCGTTTGCCAGTCTGGCAGTTTTATGTTTCCAGAATCTATGGTGAAATATTCGGAAACCGCAGAAACCCAAGATTCCTCTGGCATCACATGGGTTTGTTCCTGTCAGCATGTTTAATCTTTTTTATGCTAAATGAGCGGATCTTAGTAATGATTTGCCCTGCTTGGGGTTTTATTGACTTTTTCATTAGCAAGGAGGCAAGAAAAGGATTGAAGGAAGGATGTTACAGTTTGTGAAAAAAATGCAGTGTCCATTTCAAGTGTAGTAGCTGTTAAATATGTAGGCATATGTATGCTGCCTTATGTAGTTATAAAAATGAAAGACATGCCATCTTGCCTCTTTGCCTCAGAATATGATTTCTCTCACAGCAACAAGTAGCACAGGCTCTTCTCTCCCCTTTTCTCCTCCCCTTCAGCCCCTCCTGACAAAATGCCAGTTATAAAGGTCAGCCTGTTTATGTAAAGCCCGTGTGTTTCTTAACAAAGACTGCTGCACATCAAGCCTGCAACGACTATCAAATAGACTTGGGATTCAAGACACTCAACAAGAGCACTGTCCATTTTCTAGGACTGATAAAATCCCAGGCAAAACAGGAGACAAAGAGCCGCGGTGTGTGACTGGGGTAGGTCACCAGCGCCAGGGTGCACACGGGCAGCAGTGTCTTCATAGCAGTGTTTGGTGCTGCAAATGTTGGCAAGATCCATTGGAGCTGTGTATATACCTACGTGTGTGAGAGAGAGAATGTATGAAAAGAGGTTTGCTGATATGCTAATACTCTTCTGCTCTTCTCTTTAGGTTTCTTCCTATCTCTAATGATGTCCTTAGGCTGAACTTGCTTTGCAGCTCCTTCACACCAAGGGCAGCTTAAATCAGCCAAGGAGAATTTTGAGTCTGACCAACCCCACCCTCCCGATAAAAGAGAAGAGATCGACTTCATTAGTCTTTGGCTTTGCAATGAGGTGTTTTCATTTAATAGCATCCAGAGGTGCAGTGGACATAGTCTGATCTTTATTTCACTGTGCTCCCTTTCCCTCCCTGCCACCTTCTTTCACCTGAAGAGCAGTACAACTTGGTTTCCTCAACTAATATAACCTCTGTTGGTCCTTTTCCACTTTAAATCTAATAAGAATATTCTGATATTATTCTCTTCATAGAATCACAGAATGGTTTGGTTAGAAGGCACCTTAAAGATCATCGTGTTCCAACCCCCTACCACAAGCAGGGACACCTTCCACTAGACCAGGTTGCTTTTATTAACCTAAAGATTAAAACAATTTACTTTATAATTACAACACAGATCTGCAACAGTGGTCAACTCCAAGACCTAATTGCCACCACAGTTCACTTTTGGCCCTTAAAATCACCCTGAAGCAGAGCTAAAGGGTTGTAGAGGACTATGATGCTTTTTGTTCAATGGTGTTAATAATCTATGGCCTTAGAATATGATCTTACAAAGTCTCATCCTAGGGCAGAATAATGAATAATGAAATCACAAGCAATGGAACGGGGCAGAAACTTATATCACTCCCCAAAATGCTAAATGCAAACTGGGACCCAGTCTGAACTGAGGAGCTGCGCAGGATGATGTGAGAGGGGAGGGGCACTCCAAGTCCTCCCATCCTAAAAGCCTTGCGGCCCTGAATTACAGGTCATTAGATTCCTTTGTCCCGTAAATCTGCATTAAATAGCAGCGTGATTCTGTGTTGGTAAACGCAAGTTTTAACAGCTTATCCCATAATATTTTAATTTTTCTTTACTTCGTATATTCAGCCTTTTCACCCTTTTTCTCCCAGGACCTGCTTAAGCTTCTCTTTAGCTCCCAAAAAATGTATGTAATTTGTTAAGCCAGTTCAGCAGTTACTCTCAGTTTCCAACAGACAAACCTATTATGCAAACAATACTGTCACCTTCTCCCGGCTGTAATGAATTCTCTGCATGCTACTCTGCTGTAAATTCTCCATCTAAAAATTCCACGCACTACATGTTTTGTCAGGGGAAACTGTACTTGACTTTTGAAACAGTTGGGAGGAACAAAATGATAACCTACTAAAGTGCCTTGCCCTTAACTGGAATTATGGCAAGTAATTAAAGTTAGAGCAAAAAGACTTAAACTTTGGACTGCTTATGTTCTCAGTGTTTTTGCTCGGATGAGGGTTTTTTTTTAGATGTCTGATTTGAATGTCAAATTTGCATATTCATCTAGAAAACATAGGGAATGCTTAATTGCCTGTGTCCAGTGTTCATATTTTTCTTGGGAAACAATGTTTCATATACTCGTGGTTTTTGTTTCTAGTTATTATTGCATCCATAAATTGGACTGGGTGTCTAAACAAGTCCTGTATTTGCTCATTATACAAACAAATATGCCATATTTAGAATTTTGCTTTATAATCATATCAGAGATACCTGGAATTGCAGAACAGCCCAGGTTGGAAGGAAAAGGGAGCCAAGATGAGACTATCTAATGCCCTGTTCACTCACATACTGAAACCCTCCAGCAATGGGGCACTGCCAGGGAGGCAGCAGACTCCCCCAAGAAGTGTCAGCTCAGCACATTGGCCCTTCTGTTCCTCACACAAGGAATCCTCCTGTGACAATAATCCAACTTCTCCTCTGTATGGAAGCTGTTTTGACTCAGGGCATGGACCACTAACCTTGGTGACACCTCCAACCTTTATGAACCATTGTCCTCATCATTGTTCCCACCCTCTTGCAGAGCCTTGAGCCTGTTATCCTTGGGCACCTGGGAATGCAGAGCAGTCACAGAGGAGACACTTTCACTGCAGTGCTGTGGTGGCTCTGGCTGAGCTGGAGTTCATTTCCCATCCCAGCCCTCCCAGGGCTGAGCTTTGCAGTGGGAGCTGGAAAGGTGTTGATAACAAACCAGGGGGTGGGCAAGGTCCTGGGAGGGGACACAGCCAGACCAGCTGTCCCCAAGTGACCAAAGGGATATTCCAGACCATGTGACATCAGCTCAGATATAAAAGCCAAGGGAAGAAGGAAGAAGGGGGGCATCTGTTATTTCCAACATTTACCTTCCAGAGCAGCCACTTCACGTGCTGAAGCCCTTCCTGGGAAGCAGCCGGACATTTCTTGCTGATGGGAAGTAGAGAACAAAATATTTGGTTTCTTTCTTTGCTTGTGTGCCCACAAACTTTTACTTTTGCTTTAGTAAACTACTCTATCTCAACCTGGGAGTTGTTTTCCATCTTATTCTCTCTCTCCCAGCCAGCTGAGAAGGGGACAGAAGCTGAGAAGGGGAAGTGATAGAGTGGCTTAGTGAGCACCCGGTGTCCAGCCAAGTTCAAACCACCCTAGCTGGGCAGGAGCTGTCACTATGGCCTTAAGCTGTGCCAGGGGAGGTTTAGGTTAGATATTAGGAAGAAATTCTTTACAGAGAGGGTGATCAGCCATTGGAATGGGTTGCCCAGGGAAGTGGTGGATTCTCCATCCCTGGAGGTTTTTAAGATGAGGCTGGATGTGGCACTTAGTGCCATGGTCTAGCAACTGTGGTGGTAGTGGATCAAGGGTTGGACTTGATGATCTCAGAGGTCCTTTCCAACCTGTCTGATTCTATGATTCTATGATTCTATTGCCCCCAATCCCTTCAGTCACTGTATTCAGCCAGGGAGAGAGAGAGGATGGGGAATCCTACAAATCATGCATCCTGTCTGCATGGTGGGCCTGTCCCAGGGAAGGCAGGCTGTGATTCCAGTAGCTGCTCTCTCTCTCATACTACCTGACACTCCTCAGCCTGCTCCCCTCCTCCCAGAGCTCCCAGGTTCACCCACACCAGGACACTCTCCCCATGCTGTGTACTGCACTAGAGCACTTGGCTGTGGATCGTGGTGGCCCTAGATCTGCTCACTTCAGTGACTATGATAAATTCCCCCCATCCTTCTCCAAGGAGACAACACCTTGGTGTTCTCAGTGCTTCCTCACAGGGCAGGTTCTTCAGCCCTTTGATCATCTTCCTGGCCTTCCTTTGGACCCTGTCTTGTCTTTCTGCTTCTTTCTTGAACTGTGGGGACACGAACTGGACATGGTGCTCCAGGTTCCTTCCACAGGCTCTAGTGGAAGGTGTCCCTGCCCATGGCAGGGGGTTGGAACCAGATGGTCTTTAAGGTCTCTTCCAACCCAAACCATTCTATGACTGGAGGTGCAGCATGACAGGTGATGAGTAGGATGGGATGATCCCACTCTGTCCCCACAGATGCAGCCCAGGACCCCATCTGCCTTTTAGCCACAGCAGGCACTGCTGACTCATGATCACTCCTTGTCCACCAACATATTTCGACCTATACATTTCTGCTTTAACAGAGATATGATTCACTGGAATAAAATTATACCCACTGAGTTTTTCCTCACTTGCAGAGGAGATTATTTTTAGGAACTCCCAACATTTCGCTTACAGAGAAGGAACCAGTAGTGTAGAATTTCCTTAATTTCTCCCCAAAAGTCAAAGAAATACAGCATGTTTGCCTATTCACTTGCTCTATCCTTTGGCAGCAAGGGACAAACTTAAAAGGCTGGATTTTTTTCAGGCTCTTGCTATCATTAAAGCACCAGTTTTCCAAGACAGAACAACCTCTTTGAAGATATGGTATTTACTGTTTTCTGATGGTATTAATTGCAAGACCTGTAAGCTCACGTGAGCTTACCAGACACAGCCAGACACACACTGCTAGGAGGAATCTTTTTTTATTTTTTTAAGTTGAGACATATCTTGGCCATGTTTCCATGACCAGTGGCCACGCAGGCGTTTTTAAAATAACCTCTGATGTGTTCAGGTATTCACTTTTTCTTGCTAGCCAGACTTCAGACAATCACAGAAGTCTCTGTTACTTTCAAGAAAATGAAAAGATACTTGTAGAGGAAAAAAGTAAAGCAGGGGATACATTTTAAATCATATTGAGGTGGAGAGTCCTAGGCATCAAGTTTACCTGTTTTCCTTAGGAGAAAAATATCCAGTGGCTGCAGTACCCCAGTACTAGAAAGAATATCCCACAGAAGTAGTGTAATATGTACTTCCAGGAGTTGATATGATGGATATGGAATGGAGGTCTCTCTCCCACAGGCAGTGACTTTACAAGCAATGTGAGAAGCACTGGCCTGACACAGAGTCAGCAGATTTGTAGAGGAATTGAGGTGTAATTTCAGTGTACTGTGTTTAAATACAGAAGCCATGCAGCTTCTACTGAGTTTTAGCCCCGGTTGAGCTTAGTGTTGTCACACAGACTTCAATAAAACCTACCTGTTGGTGCTGTGTTACTTCTGTGTGGTCAGAAATCAGTCTCTTCCCAGAGAGGTTGGAGTATGAAATGCATTTGAATTAGTGGTGGAGGACAGAAGAAGTGTTGAAATGAAGAGAAGACCCCTCAATGCATTTTCTGTGGTGCACGTAAAAAATCAAGACCCACATTCAGACAAAGTGAGTTTTTTGAGGGGTGGTGGAGTCCAGTGAAGTGTTGTTACAGCTGACACCTGGCACAAAAGACAGACTTAAGTTGTAGGAAAAGCAGTTCTGTATTCAAGATGTAAGGGATCCTGATTGGAGTCTTGCACCTGCCCTTTATGAATGTTTGCAGAAGTAAAATATGTATTTGCCAGAATGTATAAAAGAAATTTGTCATGGACCAAAAAGGGAAGAGAAGAACAGGTATCAGGGTAAGTCTCAGTTGATGCTTTGCAGTGTCAAGGAATTGCACACTAGAAAGGCAGAGTTTTACTGAGTTTTAGGGTGGTTATGTTGTGAAGAAAAAAGCTTGTAGAGAAAGCAATTTGCATTTGGAAAAGAGATTATTTTACAGATATTGGTTCAAGTTGATAGTCATTCCCTGAATAGCATCTGGTGTATTATCTCAATAGATCTTGTTATCTCCCATAGAAATGAGCCAAGAAAAGTGTCTGTAGTGAGGTTTGAAAATAACCTTTGTTATTATATGTCATTAACTCACAAGAATCAAAATACATGGCCACCAATGACAATGCATAAGAACAATGCAGTTTCTTGAGCAGTCTGTTCCATGCATTTCCAGTCTCTAGCATGCACTTAAAATACAGCAATTTTATGAGCATTTATCATTTGCCTGGGCTATGGAGCTAATGAGACAGAAAAAGGGTGAAGAATTTGTATGGATGAACTCCATTTACCCAATTTCCAACTCAAACATAATGATAGGAAAAATAAGCAATATATGCATGAAGCTGTGTATTGGGTTTTTGCTTTTTACAGTTCCTGTCTTGCAGCAGCCTGGGCTGAGTCATTATGGCACACAACAGGTATGTGCTCCTGTCAGCAGCAACCATCATCCTTGTGACATTTCTACTGCTTCCAGCTGCTGGGGGCGATAGTAGGAAGATGTCAGATCCTCTTCTCAGTCACAAAGGAGAGGAGGCAGTAAAAAAGATGTCTCTTACATCATTTATTTGATTACGTTCTCCATTTGTCAAAGCAGTGGAGCACAAAGCCCACATGGATTTTTGTGAAGCACTCCGGAATCTGCTGGGTTGTAAGCACACATTTCAAACCTCAGTAAACAAGGATGGTTTCATGTCTTTAGCATGTGTTTTGCTGACTCATACAGCAGCAGGAATTCGTACATTTAAGATGGTGCAAATGTCTTTCCCAGAAAGCCAAATTTTCAGCTGCGTTTCTTTAAATTACATTGGAGAGAAAGTAAATAAAACCTCAGAAGCTGGTTCAAAAAAAGTCATGGATTCAATTTTGAGTTATCTCTCTTGATATTGCTCAACCCTAGAAATAACATTCACTTTTTGGCAGAACTCTCTGACACAGCACAACACTAAGACATGTTCCTACTTGGAGCATTAGGAGACCAGACATCTGTTTCCTTGTTTGGGTTTTTTTTTCGGATAAAGGCATGAAAAGCAGCACTGACAAAATGTATTAACATGGGATAATCTCAGTGTTCCCATTAGCTGTGCACCTTAAATGGCTGAGTTCAAAAACACCCTACAGCATAACAACAAAGCAGCCCTGAGGTAACACTGTCACTGACACTGTTTGAACTGTTGAGAGGCAATACAAGGTCTCCTCAACCAGCTGCTGGAAGTTATTGGACAATTAATTGTCACTATATAATTGGCATTATATATATTTTATTGGGAGTATATATATATTGGCAATTGGGGTTTTTTAGACAATTGAGCACTATTAGAGTCTGAATAAATGTTGTAGCTAGAAGCTGGTATGTGTGTTAATCCCAATGTGGTTGGAATGGCATCAGCCAGTGGACCTGTACCTTACAGTTAGTGCTCCAACCATTTCCTACTCTTAAGAAATAATCATAGCATGAGGGTTTCTTTTTTTTTCCCAAATTCAATTGTTATCACCATAGTGCTGTTA